AAAATTGAGACATACTCATTTTTTTAACATTTTTTCGCTTAAAATTATATTGAGCATTTGCCACTACATTATAGGTTCTTATAATATGAATTATTATATTTCAGAGAACAGAACCACCCAAGTGGCCTTAAGCAGTGGAATTTTTTTATAAGAACGCCTGGGGACCAAGGAAGACAGGAAATTAGCCCTTGTACAGCCAGGCTTCAGGAGGCTGGAAAATTATTGTTGTGGATACAGTGTTGCTGTGGTGATCCAGTTACTCTGTCATTTTTCTCAGCACCATATGTCCTCTGCTCCCTGTTCTAGTGCACGGTCAGGTGATTCAACTACTTTCACTCCTCGCTTCTGCTGTTGTATTGAGAACTGGCAGGCTGCTTTCCCTTGTACTTCATACCTTCTGCTTATATTGGCTTCTCTTTACTCTTTACTTTATTTCCAGTTATTCACAGCTTTACTATTTTGACTTCATTTTAAACCCTTTTTCTGTATTTTAGCCCTTAGCCATGTTACCAACTTTTAGTCTCGTATTCAGATACCATAGGAAAAAGACCTGATTGTGAGTTGGTAAGGTCTAAGTTGGGCAGCTCTGTTGGGCCCTGCATCTGATGTGCTGCTTGCCAGCTCAAGGATTTAGTGTTCTTAAAGTCAGTACCCGTTTGTGGGTCACTACTCAGGGTATAGGGGGCTCCTAGTTAGGCAGCTGTTGTAGCTTTCCATATCGATGTGTTGTATTTAACATAATTGTATAATATTTCTATTGTTTTAAAACACTTATTGTTAGAAATAGGGCTTGGAGCGTGGGCCAAGAGGTAGAGTGCTGCCTAATCAGTATGAGGCCCTGAGTTCACTCCCCCAGTACCTCAAAGCAAAAAGAAATAGGACAGCAACTCAGAAGCAAGGATAATAAACACCGACCAGTCGAAGCAGTCAGATTCTTGAGTATTTAAAAGACAGAATTCATCATGAGTTCAAAACATATCTTAATTCAAAATGACAATGCAGTAATGAATTCTAAAAGACATTATATGAGAAGCTACAAGGAACATAGAAAAGTTTAAAGCTGAAGTAAAAGGATCTGGGGTTTATATGGGTCTGAATTATGGAAAAGATTGAAATGCATTCAAGAAACTTGGTTAGTGAACCTAAACATCACATGATAAGTACCTAGTTAATACCAAGTAAAAGATTCACATGGGAAAAACTGTGTTGGCAGTGCATAATATAAAATGCTTTTTAAGTATTTGCTTAGCAATAGTTACCCAGTACTGAAAAGTAGGACCTATCTTTTTTTTTTAAATTTTTTTGTGGTACTGGGGTTTGAACTCAGGGGGCCTACATCTTGAGCCACTCCACCATCCCTTTTTTGTGATGAGTTTTTTTGAGATAGGGTCTCACAAGGTCTTTTCCTGGGCTGGCTTCGAACAGTGACCCTCCTGATCTCTGCCTCCTTAGTAACTAGGGTTATGGGTGTGAGCCACTAGCACTTGGCAAGGACTTATTTTTTAAAAACATTATGAAACAACAAATGAAACAGAAATGGCTTTAATACCAAAATATCATTGTAGAATTCTTGATTATTCATCAATATATAGGTGTTGCTGTACCTATTTTCTTCTGGTACATTTTTAGGTCCTTTTACGTTTTACTAGATTATACCCTTGCAGAGTCTGTCAATTTTATAAGATTTTTTTTTCTTTATAGTTAAGATCATGGTAAAGTACAGTTTTACACTTTTTCATGCTATTAATTTGCAAATTTTATTTTTAAAGGTTGCCTAATACTCTGTTATTGAGATACTATAATATACTTAACCATTCCTGTAATATGAATAAATGTTTATGTTTTTGAATAAAGTTTCAGTGACTTGTTTATCCACAAATTTTTATCCACATTTCAGGTTATTTTTGAGATTATATTCCTAAAAGAGAATTCACTGTGACAAAGGTATAAATATTTTTAATGCTAAATTGATTTCTAGAATGGTGGTAACAATTTTTAATTTTACTAACACTATACAATATTTTCCATCTTAAGATCTTCTTGTCAACATAAAATATTTTAAAGGTTTTATTTTATTTATAGTAATTGTGTCCGTTTTTTTCCCCCGGTACTGGGGTTTGAACTCAGGGATTCACGCTTGCTGGGCAGGCATTCTACCACTTGATCCACTCCACCAGCTTATTACTCTTTATAGATAACAAAATAAACAAAATAAAGATGCTACCCACCTTGAATCTACTTTTAAATTATTAAGTGCTGCTTTCAGCTTTTTGGGTTAGCAGAATGTTAGAGTATTAGAATCTGAGGGATTCAACTTTTTGCCAAATGTAGAAATCATTGCATTTCATTTAAGCATATCAGATTGTCAATGGGATGAAATTTGGCCTTTCCGGTACTGTCTCAGGCCAGTTGTACTTTATTTTAGCATAAAATATGCTATTTTTTATCATATTTAAGGAATAATTTATAATATAAATTTAGACTGAATTTTTTTATCCTAACAAACTATGACCTCTGCCAAACTTAAGGAAAGAAAAAACAGGGAAACCTAGAACTACGGTAGTATCAAAACTAAGCAATTTATGTCAAATCAAAACCCATTAAGGTAATATTTTGCAGTTATGTTATCAAACTTGAGTGATCTTTTTAAAATGTATTTTATTAATTTAATTTTCAGATTAATTGCTCATGTATAAAAATGAAATTGTTTTGTATATTGATTTTGCATCCTATAACTTTATTGAACTTGTTTTTTAGTTCTGTTGTGTTTTTAGCAGACTCATTAGTATGTAAGTCTCTTTTTTTTTTTGTGGTGGTACTGGGGTTTGAACTCAGGGACTCACACTTGCTAGGCAGGTGCTGTACCATTTGAGGCATCACTTGAGCCACTCCATCAGCCCTTTTAAGTGTTGGGTATTTTGGAGATAGGGTCTTGTAAACTCTGTCCAGCCTGGCATCGAAATGCAAACTTCCTGACTTCTGTCTCCCAAGGTAGCTAGGATTACAGGCATGAGCCAACAGCGCCCAGAGATGAATGATCTTGTTAAAACTTTACCTGATAAAGTTAAAAAAAAACACTAAAAAAAAAAAAAAAACCCAGAAAAGCTTAAAAAGTATGAAAGACATAGCAAAGAGGAGGTATTTGCTGTGGTCTGTGCCAAACAAGACATTGTGATACTCAGGCTCTTTACTCCGAGAAAGTATACTATGTGACAGAGAACTTCCTGAAGGGTTGTTTTTAACTGCTTTGATGAGAGCTGTTTCATCAGTAAAGAAATGAGTGAGAGCCTGGATTGTAGTAGCTTTAATAATGAATGGGAGCTGAGGTAAAGCTAGTGAATGTTAAGAACTCTTTTAAAGACATCGAATGAGGAAGTAAAAGAGCTGGATGCTGTCATGCACTGAGGGAGAAGAAAAGTGCAAATGAACATTTATTCAGCATGGTAGATTTACTTAGGCTTTTAGGCTATGTGTAAAAAGAGAGGGAGAGATCCAGTAGACTACAGAGGAGACCAGAGGAAATGTAATCAGCTTTGGGAAACTATCCTCTTCTGAGAAAGATCATAAAGATATCTAAGACACAGCTAAATCTAAAAAGGAAGGGAAGGGAAAGTACAGTTTCATGTTTTTCATGTTATTAGTTTGCATGTATTAAAAAGGAGTATTTGTATTAAAATGTTTCAAAAGGGAAGTTCTGTCAGGAAATGGAATGTCAGAATTGAATGATTGTAGGAATGAAGATACAGTGAAATGGAAACATGTGGGCTATGAGTAATACAAGTCTATTTAAGATTCCATTTAGAACTAGGCATCAAGTTGCAATCCCCCTTGGAAAGTTATATCTGTATACATGAATTAAAAACAAACAGAAAACCAAAATATGGTCCTGCCGTATAGCCCAAACTGGCCTTGAACTTGAGATCCTTCTTGCCCTAGTGCTGTGGGTATGCACCACTATGCCTAGCCTTATTACATGAACTTTAAAAATGATTCCCAATTTTATAAAAGTAAGTTGGCTCTGTATATGATTTCTTTTTAAAAATATGGTATGGTAGTACATAGATTATAGAATCCCAGCACTTGAGATGCTGAGACAGGAGGATCACAGGTTTGAAGCCAGTCTGGGCTACATAGCAAGACTCTATCTCAAAAATAAAAATAAACAGTAACAAAAATCCCCAAACTGTAAAAGCATCTTACTTTAGGATCTTGTGATGTGTTACATAGAAGGTACTCAAAATTTGTGATTTGATTAAATGCCCTTTTTTCAAATACTTGAAGATTTCTAATAGGTAAGAGCAAAGAAAGTTATTAAGTCTATTATCTTCTTGTTACCTTTGAAAATAGTTTAAATTTTTTCTTTTATCAATTCTAAAGCCATGTAGTATTTTAACCATAATTCAAGAAAAAGTCTTTTGGGTAGTGAGAATAGATGTAGTATAGCAGGTATCGGCATTTTCACTCATACCACCAAATGCACTAACAACCAAATAGGTATTAAATTTAATGGCATATAAAAACCCTTCATAGTACTTTTTCAGTCCCCACTTTTGTTTATATTTTCTCTTCCTTTTTCCTTTTACTTCTTCCTTACATATTTCTTTCTCTTCTCATTACTGTGTCTACCAAGGATTCCTACTAAAATTCATAGTCATGTGTATCTCCATCAGTAATATTCAAAGCTGGAAAATTTGCTATCCTATCTATTAAAATAATATGCTTTGAAGTTTTTATGAACCATCTGCTCTTGTTTATATATTAGTTAATGTTGTGCCTCATATCATTATACAAAAGTTTTGATTCAGCTGCTAACATAATTGTTTGTTACATTTCATAAATTGCTTATTAGGGTAATTTTGTATCTCAGACTTTTGTTATATCTCACACTTCCTCTGAATTGGGCTTTGCACTCTGTTTACTTGAACTTTGATTAAATTAAATGGTCTACATTTTTTACAACAACGATATATAATAACATACTCTTATTTTTTTTTAAATAGATTTGGACTGAGCAACAAGTTTGAATCAGAATTCCCTTCTTCATTAACTGGAAAAGTGAGTTTCTCAATTATTTGTCTTCTACTTTTTTGTCTCAGAATTACTTTTTCTTAGAAAACTAGAAAATGTATGCTATTGAGATATGTTTATTGACATTAATATCACAGTGTTACTATTTCTTAAATTTTTTTCTTTAGGTAGCTCCTGAAGAATTTAAAGCCAGCATCAACAGAGTTAACAGTTGTCTTAAGAAGAACCTTCCTGTTAATGTACGTTGGCTACTTTGTGGCTGCCTTTGTTGCTGCTGCACGTTAGGTTGCAGTATGTGGCCAGTTATTTGCCTCAGTAAAAGAGTAAGTCAAATTATATCTTTTAAATTTAGAAGTAATCAAAAAAATTGAATTTTAGTTTTTGTATTGAGTGAATAACAATATTCTGAATAGTATACAAAAGAATGTGATCTACTAGAGTATTAAGTGATTTATATATCCAAGTGCTATAAGATTTCCATCTAAAATTGTTTTTATAAATTTTATGACATAGGAAGTCATGAGCAAAGAGAAGAATACAGCATTGTCTGTATGTACATTGATGGTTGGCATAGTAATAGTGATCAAGAACTCTGGGTTCAGCTCTACCACATGTTTCTGTAACCATAGGCATGTATCCTAATCTCTTTAAAGCCTAGTTGACACAGCTGTAAAACGGTAATACTCACCTATGAGTTGAATAGAATTGTTGTAAGGAGAAAATGAAATACAGTAGATCCTTGGTATTTGCAGGTATATGGTTCAAGGATAATACTGTTGAAGGAAAACTGTGAATGTTCTGGATGCATAGAGTTCAGTATTCTAAAATTACTCAAATTTATTCGTTACATACATACATATATACATACATGAGTGTCTATAACTTGAAACCACATGGAGGGAGTACTTACTGTCACAAAAGTTAACTGTTGTACACATTAGTATTGCTCACTAAAAACTAGATATTATTTCATGCTCTTTAATTTGAATCCTGGTCATGCTTGATTCATTTTTCCCATGACGCCACTCAGCTTCCACTAAGGACATGCTACCTTGCAACAAATTTAAAACTCTACTTTATCACCTAAATTAAGCACATTACGTGCCCTTTTTGGCTTGAGAGGATAAGGGCACATTTGCGTTGGGGAGGCATACAGTCACAAAATTAAGGGCAGGAAAATAGATCACACACCAATTTAAACACAACTGATGAAAACGTGGGACTGACTGAGTTTCACATCAACTGAGCTGTATAATGTGTGCATGGGAATTTAAAATTCTTGTTTTAGAAATTTGCTTTTTTAATTTACTTTTTTTTTCTGTGTTGGTCAAAACTGCATGTAATAAATCTAATGTTTGTCAAGCTCTTAACTAAATACCTCTTAGGAAGTTGTGTGTTAGCTTTTCCATGCTGTGAAAAATATGTGAGAGAAATAGTTTAAAGGATGAAAAGTTTATTTTCTCTCATAGTTTTAGAGATTTCAGTCATGGTTGGCTGGCTCCCTTGCTTTTAGGCTTTTAGGCAAGGCAGAAATATCATGGCAGGGAGAGTGTGCCAGAGCAGAGCTTCAGAGCTGCTCACTTTGTGGTGACCAGGGAGCAGAGAGACAAAAGGACCCAGGACAAGACATAGCACCCGAGAATATTCTTCTAATGACCTCCTTCCTCCAAGTAGGCCCTACCTTCGAAAGTTTCCACCTTACCCAATAATGCCATGAAATTATGACTCCATGAGTGGATTAATCCATTGACTAAGTCAGAGCCCAGTGGTTGGATGTACTATCTGGGAGCCAGGTCTTCAACACAGGAGCCTTTTGGGGGATACTGTATATTTAAACCATAACAGAAGTAGTTAATAAATACTGACTTACTTCTAAAAAGTCGTTATAATGGTTATTTCTGTATGATAAGATATTGGGAAATTGTGTTTTCTTTTTGTATTTTACAAGTTTTCTGTAGTGAGTACACAGTGACTCTGTAATTAGCAAAAATAAAGACTTATAATTTTGACTGCTTAAATAAAAAATTCCCAAATGTTGGTAGAGATGTTCTAAGTTTGTAGAGATTAAAAGCCTTATATATTTGCTTAAACATTTTTAAAGTTGGTATGTATACATGTAAAAATGAAATACTATTAAGTCAAACTTGAATGGTTTTGTATGGCAGCATTTCATTTTGTCACCAAATAATGGTAAGGAAATAGGGGAAACCCAATTCTATTTATTCTTTGATTTCTATTATAAAAAGTAAGAGGTATGTTTCTACTAAAATTTTAAACTAGAATATTTTATTGATAGGTAATAATGCCTTTAATACAGGATTACTTTGGTAATATTAACTAATGTTTGTAAATTTTACTTGGATCTAAGAATGTTTCTTGGGCTGGGGGTGTGGCTTAAGTGGTAAAGCCATTCCCTAGCAGGTAGAAGGCACTGGGTTCAATCCCTACTACTAGGGGGAAAAAAAAAAAGAATTCCTTTTTTTTTTTTTCCCCATACTTTTCACCACATCATCTCATCTCTAGACCGTAGAAAGCTGATGTTGGTTTTTTTTTTTTTTTTTTGGTCTCTGGTGATTTCTAGATCCACAGTGAATTTGCTATCCTTTTAGTTTAGATACCCTCACTCCCTTCTACTCTTTAGGCATTTCCATTGCTTAATTGACTGCTGTATCTCATTTAGTTGGTAATTAGTGTCAAAACCCTAAAATTCAGAGGGCTTTCTTATTCTAGAAACCTTTGAGTTCTAGCCTTTTGTTTCTGTTTTGAGATCTTGTTACTTTTTAAGTAACACATGATACTACAGTGGGTATACAGTTTATTTAGGAAAAAAGGTAAATACCTTACACCTCTAAATATTCTTATCAAGTTAAGATCCTTTTTGAAATGACTCCATTAGATTCCTTTTTATTTGAGAGTTAGATAAATTGATGCTTTATCCATAGTTCCAGTTCCATCCATAGTTTCAGATAGTACAGGTCAGCATGGTAGTATTCAGTCTAAGATCTCTTTTGTATATATAGGACTGTATAGAATAGTTATTTGATAGATTTAATTTTATCTGGACTTTACTATCCAGTGAGCATGAAGCTATATAATAACCTGATTTTAAAAAAGGCTGTGCTTTTCCCTTGTCTTGGGTGTAAACTATTACATAACCATGAAGGGAATGACACTTCATGGATGTCTGAAGGCTCTTAGAGGCCCTGGAGAAAGAAGAACTTTGTAATATGAGTGTAGAATAATTTAGGACAGGAAGTTTTAATCTTATTTGTCATGGATCACTTTGATAAGGAAGCTTATGAATGCTAATTTAGAATAATGTTTTATATATTTTAAATCATTTAATGTATCTTAAATGTATTAAATAAAACATACAGGATTACGAAGGAGACCAGTTAAATAAAATATAGTTATAAAAAACTTCAAGTGATTTATAAATCTGTTCTTTATTAATACAAACAAAATAAGATAGCAGTAGATCCATGGAATCATATGATAGGAAGAATCTGTGATATCTACAAGTGGCAAAGGCACAGTTCCTGTTTAGTCATTGTAGTTATATACATTCATAGTGTAAGAAAATATAGTACATTTTAGCTAGAGGTTAAACATGAAAATGAATTTTTGTTCCACCCACTTTCATAGACTCCCAGAATCCCATGTAGGTACTCTGTATTAAGAATCCTTGATGGAAAGAAGAAATTCAAATGGCCAAGAAACACATGAAAAAATGCTCACCATCTCTAGCAATAAAGGAAATGCAAATTAAAACCACGCTAAGATTCCACCTTACCCCTGTTAGAATAGCCATCATTAGCAACACCACCAACAACAGGTGTTGGTGAGGATGTGGGGAAAAAGGAACCCTCTTACACTGCTGGTGGGAATGTAAACTAGTACAACCACTCTGGAAAAAAATTTGGAGGCTACTTAAAAAGCTAGACATTGATCTACCATTTGATCCAGCAATACCGCTCTTGGGGATATACCCAAAAGACTGTGACACAGGTTACTCCAGAGGCACTTGCACACCCATGTTTATTGCAGCACTATTCACAATAACCAAGTTATGGAAACAGCCAAGATGCCCCAATACACAATTTTATGCAGCCATGAAGAATAACGAAATGTTATCATTTGCCGGTAAATGGATGGAATTAAGAGAACACCATTCTAAGTGAGGTTAGCCTGGCCCAAAAGACCAAAAATCGTATGTTCTCCCTAATAAGCGGACATTAGATCAAGGGCAAACACAACAAGGGGATTGAACTTTGATCACAATATAAAAGCGAGAGCACACAAGGGAGATATGAGGATAGGCAAGACACCTAAAAAATTAGCTAGCATTTGTTGCCCTCAACACGGAGAAACTAAAGCAGATACCTTAAAAGCAACTGAGGCCAATAGGAGAAGGGGACCAGGAACTAGAGAAAAAAAGAATTAACCTAAAAGGTAACACACACGCACAGGAAGTTAATGTGAGTCAACTCCCTGTATAGCTATCCTTATCTCAACTAGCAAAAACCCTTGTTCCTTCCTATCATTGCTTATACTCTCTCTTCAACAAAATTAGAGATAAGGGCAAAATAGTTTCTGCCGGGTATCGAGGGGGTGGGGGGGAGAGGGAGGGGGCGGAGTGGGTGGTAAGGGAGGGGGTGAGGGCAGGGGGGAGAAATGACCCAAACATTGTATGCACATATGAATAATAAAAAAAATAAATAAAAAGCTATTTGCAAAAAAAAAAAGAATCCTTGATGGGCTGAAGTGGTAACTCAGTGGTAGAACACTTGCCTACTTTATGCAAGGGTCTAGATTTCTAGCTCCCTAGCACCACAAAAAAACAAAACGAAGTCTTGAGTTAGACGTACAAGTAGTAAAAGGCAAAAATCATGCCTAACTGCCAGCCTGTGAACCTCTTGTGTCTCTGCATTTGTGACATAGAATCCTCTTGTATATGTTATTATTGTCCTAGATTCTAGTACCTGGTTTGTAATTCAGAGTTTTAGTCTTCCTTGTGTGTGTGTTTCTCTCTCTTTTTGGCAATACTGGGGTTTGAATTCTGGGTCTTGTACTTGCTAGACAGGTACTGTATGACTTGAGCCATACCCTCAGACCACCTTTCTCTTTTTTGAACTACCTTAGCCTATTTTTGAAAATCATTTTTTAGTGTACAAAAAATCCATTTTTAGTGTATGGTTCTATGATTTTTATAAAATATAAAGTATAATTTATAATTTTTTAAATACAAAGTATAATTTATTCATAGAATTGGGTAACTGCTACCACAATTAAGGTACATAATCTCATCAAAAAAACTTCTTTG